TCGGCCCCACTGCGCGGTCGCCCGCCTCAGTTGCTCGGCTAACAGCGCAGCTTGCTACCTCGGCCCCACGCGCACGGCCAGCCCGCGCGCCTCGGCCCCTTGGCCCCTCGGCCCCATGCGCAGCAAGTAGCTTGCTGCCTCGGCCCCATGCGCGGCCGCCCGCCTCAGTTGCTCGGCTGACAGCGCAGCTTGCTGCCTCGGCCCGGATCGAAAAGACCGGATCGGAAAGATGGGTCTGCGGAGTAGACGAGCACCAATGAAGCCGACCGAGGCACTAAGGGACAATGTCAGCTACTCCAGATGACGTCACGCACCTCGGAATTGATCAGAGGTGCGAAGGCCATTGCTACTGTCAGGAGTACCAGCCTGCCCCCTGCAAGCGGGCAGCTCAAGCACAGTAAGCTTCCCTATAAATACCCTTGCATGCTAAAGGAGAGGGGAGGGGATACGCACAACCCCTACGGGGACACACTCCAAAACACTTCTTCTCTTGAAATCCCCTCCACATCGCTGACTTGATCGTCGGAGGGGTCGGGCCGAGCTCCCGGCCCGACCTGTGTGCAGGTGCGAAGGACGGGATCGCCCCTTCCCGACGCTACGGCGGAGCTTCCTCCCAACCCGAACCCCTGTGCTCGGCCGCCGGGAGACCCCGAGGGACGCCGCCCGAGATCCCCCCACTTCCAGACCCGAACCAAGCCGCGACGGCCCCGAGGCCACGGCTTAAACAGTTGCCCCCCGCAACACCATTGAACTGGGCTATGCTTGACTCGCGAGTTGGTCGTACCTAGACACATGAGTTGGAATCGTATCTGACCACATGGACTGGGTTGTACATAACTACATGAGCTGGCCTATGCCTGGCCACATGGTTGTGTCGTACCTTACTATATGGGTTGGGTCATACATAGCCACATGGACTAGATCGTACTTAGCCACATAAGTTGGCCCATGCCTGGCCACATGGTTGGATCGTACTTTACCACATGGGCTGGCCACATGGTTGGATCGTAATTAATTAATTAATTAATTAAAATTAATTAAAATTTTTAATTCACGATCTTAAATTTAAAACTAATTACATTATAGAAATTTATACATAATTCTTGAAACATAGATATATCTAATTAAATAAATTAGAACTATTATGCTAATTCAAAAATAAGAATTTTAATAATTAAATCAATATTAAAATTCACTTAAGCTTAAGAGATCAATATAAATCAAATAATCATTCTAACATCACAAATCAATTGTCATTATTTACTAATCATGAAATTTTAAAATTAAAACATCATTATGCATTATAAAATTGTAACAGTCTCAATATTAAGATTTTAAAACATAAATCAAAGTTAATTAAATAAATAAAGGATCCTATTTCTCCTCGGCTATCATTTCCTCGATATCATCTCCTCGGGAAGTCTTCTCCTCAATCCTCCCATTAATAGGCTCGGTGAGAAATAAAAAAGGAATAGTCCCCTATATATAGGAGAAGATAAGATCTCTCCGAAAGATAAAGAATAATTTAATTTAATTTAATTTTTAATTTAATTTTTAATTTATTTTTAATTTATTTTCATACACAAAAAAAGAAATATAATATTCATTTCTTATAGTTCACACATGAAAATAGAATGTAAACTATTTACTTCCTAAAAATCAAATCATTCATTAGGAAATAAATCAATTAATAATTTGATTAATTATTAGAATTCCTAACTTTTTCACATGATTAAGGAAACCAATTTAATCATTTCCTTAACTATAGTACATAAACATAGAAGTTAATAATAAAGCAAATACATCATTTATAGTAATTAATTTATGTTAAGGGAGAAATTATCGTGATTACATTTCCAGTCATAAGAACATCTTCTACATATGCAAGGGGTAAGCTTGCGAGCATTGACCATCTTGAGACCTCGCATTGGCAAGAGCTTTCCCCACAAGATCACCCTTTTATGATATAAGCCTAATAATACTTTCTTTTGATTCATGCATCTTTAAGGAGGTTTCATAGTGATAGTTTGCCGATTGATACAGAGCTTTTTAAATTCACTTGTGTCAAACAAATAAAATTTTTAACAGCATTATTTGGTAAAAAAATACACTTGCAAAACTCCACAAGAATATGATTAGAATATTGCTCCAACTTTTCTTCTGATAGTCCTTTTCTATTATTAGAGACTCTCACAGTGTAGCATTATTTAAGGCTCCACATATTTTAGAAATTAACTGCTACTTATTAGTCACTGACTTTTTCAGGAACATATACATGATATTTTATTCTCCTTGCTTCTTGTAAAGGAATGCACATAGGCTTGTGTTCCATATCTATGTATTTGGAGAGACTAATAAGTTTTGCACATCTTAGCATAATATTGGTCTTTGGGATATATCATTAACTAGCGATTATGAGAACATACTTGATTAATGTTTTAGCTGTCACACCTTTCTGATTTTGTGATGATTTCATACCTTCCATGCAGCTTTTCTCAAGCAGCAGCTGCAGCTCAAGCTGGTGCATCAGTTATTCAGATATTTGTTGGTCGCATTAGGGTAATTTTTTTTCCGTTAGTTAATGTTTCTTCAAAGTTGTTATGAAGGTCATGATGAAACACACTCCAGGACTGGGCTCGCAATCACTCTGGTGATCCAGAGATTGAAGCTGCTTGCAGAAATGGGGAAGATCCTGGATTGGCTTTGGTGAGTTTAATTGCAATTTTTTGGTTACTTCTTTTTTTGTTTCTCAAGTATATGATTGCACTAACATTTACATGAGAGTGAATATTAAGCAGTTAAAGAGAGAGTAATCCCACATGATAAGTCTTTGTGAGAGCTTTAAACATTTTTGACCACAGAAAGTAGAATTTCATTTTTTTTGTGGCTGCTGATTTTTTGCCTAAATCTCACTCGCATAAGTTCACGGTAGCTGTGGTACTAATTTCTTTTTTTTCTGGCATTTATTAGTATTTTAATATTAATAAGACTCGTTCAACAATAGATAGCTTCAGTCACTTAAAATGTCTTAAAACAATCCATTCTGGCAGTGGATATTCAGTTTTGCCAGACCAGTTTCCAAGTGAAGTTCCTGTCAAGATCTTCTAGAATGGGAGTTTTATGTGTTTGGAATTTGGGCATTCAACTTCTTTTCTTTCAGCTTTACCAATGAAAAGTCAAGACATGACATATATACATGCTTGCTTCTTGTGAACCTTCAAGTTTCTTTTACCAAATGCTCAGTTATGGAGACATTTTAAGTAGCATAAAAATCAAAGCAGCTTAGTAATATAAAACTTGTATAATGGATTTGGATACCTATATCACCATCTTAGTAACCATATAATGAAACTTCTAGATAGAAATATCCTGCTCTAAAAGCCAGTCCCTTGCTGATAACGTGTTCATGTTCCTACTTAACTCTCTTTGTTTCTGGTCATAAACCTATGTTTATATATCATGTTCCCATTTTGTTTGTCCCTGTGATGGTGGAAAATATTCTTTATCAACAGGACAGGAGTTTGTTAATTTATTTCTCGAATCTTCCATAGAATAGGATTTTTAACTTTCTTCTTATACACAATTTCAGGTTAAGAAAACATACAATTATATTCACAAATACGGGCACAAGTCAAAACTTATGGCCGCTGCGGTTCGGAATAAGCAAGATATATTTAGCCTCCTTGGGTAGCCTTTTTCTTTTCTTTTGGCATTTTGTTAGTATCTAAGTTTCTCATGAACTAATCTTAAGACTATGTTGCAGGATTGATTACATAATTGCACCTCTAAAATTACTGCAGTCTCTGAAAGAATCTGTTACCTATCCTGATGAGAAGTATTCATATGTAAGGAGGTTATCTCCAGGTTCTGCGAGGATGTACAATTTCACTGAAGAAGAGGTAAATTCTTTTCTATGAGATGTTGTTCTTATCCTCTTATATATGTGTGTGTGTGTGTGTGTGTGTGTGTGTGTGGTACATATATGTATATGTATATGTGTATGTGTCTGCGTATATATGTATATATGTATGTATATATATATATATATATATATATATATATATATATATATATATATATATATATATATATATATATATAATT